GATACAATGACATGACTCACAACCACCCGAACCACCCGGCAGCATTGCTAACAAGGACCCCAGAGCCGCCGCTCCGCCGCAAACCGATCTCTGCAGAACTGCAACTCGACTTCGCAAGCAGGTCAGTGTGTTACAAATATGAGCAGGGAGCGAAGCTGCCAATGACCTTCAAAAAGGAGAGTACACTGCACTACTGCACTGAGTACACCTCCAGAACCAACGAAACCCGCTCTGCGCCAGAGCAGCTCAGGCGGCTTCGGGCAATCCTTGAGGTCCTCGATGTGGTGCAGTGTGTAGCCCCAGCCTTGGAGGTAAAGTCATGACCCACTCAACGCACAGAATGCATCAGAAACCCACACCGTTTAGATCTCCCATGGACCTGACCACTAGTCTCAGTTTGGTCTACTGATCCAGGGGCAGCACCGAGCGCTTTCGGACTTGTTGCAGGGGCCGGTCGAAAGCAAGGTATTCTTTCTTGCCAAGAAGCACCGCACAAGCTTTGCGGATCCGTTGGTCAACTGCCGCAGTGCTTCCTCAAACTCTGCCTCCTGCTCTAGCTCTTCCTTGCAAGAAGTCTACACTGGCTTCGGCGATTGATTTAACTGACCTGCAAAAGCTTGATGGCCCACACACATGTGTCACAACAGCATGTGCCTGTTTTCAAAAGGGTGAACCGAGACTGAGCCCACTTTTTTCATGAGACCCTTGCGCTGAATACCGATCAAGAAGCTGCAATAACTTGCACCTGCAGCATCTGTATGTAAATTGATGCACAGCGGCGGAGCAAACCTCCGCGAAAGCGAAGACCATTGCTATCCTGTGGCGAGCTATGCTGCTGCTTGCGGAGCTTCTTCAGACGCGTGGTCCAAGCATGTCAGTGTAATCAGTGTCATCCGCTCTGGGTCTGCATGACGTTATTGCTTTGCAGCACTTTACCGCTTGCTGCTGGAAATCATCCAGCAACTAAGAAACCAATCCACATCATCTCATCTCGCCAATGCCAGCGAGCGACTGGAACTGCGATGCCAGCTGCTGCAGCGCAGCAGCAGCCGACCTTAAGGTAGAGCAGAAAGTCAGACAGCTCCTCTCATGCCATGTCACGTTAGAAAGCACTATAGTCTGGAACGCGCCGGAGGCACAGGAATCCAAATCCAGTCCCTCACCAGCTCAACTAGGATGTTTGTTTTCTGGCCGATGAACGCCAAGAAAAAAAACGCTCACACGAACGGTTCTACTCGTCCCACGTGCAGGGCTGACAGAATCCAACCACCGCTCCATGCTCCAGCTCTGGCCGAGCGACATGCCGAATCTCAGGAACAGGTGCTGTCCTCGTGTTTCAAGCGAGCTTCGGAGATCTTCCGCGCATTCTATCCAGAAACCTCAGCTGACCAAAACGAGGCTCGAACTGTGTCCCGGATCAGGCATGACAGAGCAACCCCAGATCATGGCTAAAGCCAACATCCTTCACGCTGTAGGGCCGTCACATGAACCTGGCCTGGTGCAAAAGAAAATGGGGATGCTCAGAAAATGGAAAAATGTCATCATGAACACAGGCCTGCTGCATCAAGCTGATCTGCGCATGTCATACGTGCTGAGATCGGCAACAAGACAAGGGACTGCCCCGCACTGCACCGGTCTTGCGAAAGCCGCCGATACGGGTCTGGCCAAACCAGAACGGGTCGAAGACCTTTGGTTTGGCAACTTCCGCAAGCTGTCACTTGAAGGGTTGGAGCCTGCAGCCTTCCCTGCAACCGCCCTACACCTAGCACATGACTGCTGTGCAGAAAGCAATTCACATTGTGCTCCATTAAGTCCACCTCGGCTGCACTCTCATTGCTTCCCCATCAAGCGCAAAGCATGACTACTGTGAATGTACCATTGCAGGCAGCACTTGTAGTGTGGCAAGAACCCTCCTCCTCCTCATCTTAGCACCCTCTTGGCGACCATCTCAAAGTTCAGGTCGGAGCGCGTGCATGTGAACCACTGGAAGTGGCATCTCCAAGTGAGCACGCGAGACTGCCTCGTGGTCGTGCAACCTGATGCCGAAGACACTCTAACGCTCCTAGAGCTGCGAACTATGACCTGAAAGGTTACACAGGAACTTTAACCCAGCAGACTGCCTAGGCTGTTGGTTGTTGTTGACGTGAGCATCGGCCAGAAGTGGATAGTATATGCCGAGTGGCCGTGGCAGAAAACTGATTATCGGTATGATAGACACGATCCCTTAGCCAAGCCCCGGATATGACGAAGTAAGAGAAACCTTGTAGGGTGCATCACAACACACGCTGGTAGGGTTTCTCGTGAAAGCGCTGCCTTGCAGTCCCTGTACTTTGTTGAAGGCAAATCCATCTTCATCGGCACCCTCAGCTGCCCCTCAGCCATCTGTGGCCCTTCCATTCCATTGGACAAAAACAACTCTCTCTGCTCCGATCAACAATCGCTATGATGGTTCTAAGTCATAAAGTTGTTCGGCATTAGGACTGTAGGACCAAGACGAGAAAACGATGCTGGCACTGATCAGATGTATGTATATGACTCGTGCTCATCTAGCGCCAAAGGAACCGGAGGTCCGACATCTTGTGCCAGACGACATTCACCGTCGGCTTTGGGCCTGATGGGGATGTCCTGGACCAACGAGCTTTCCACAGAGGTAGTGTCAATTGCATGGTGACCGCACGGACCATTATGTACTCTACGAGATTTGTGTGATGCACCGGACAGCATCCTTCTTTACTAGTATAGCTGCAATATGATGACACGAGCATTGCAACATGCTCCGCCGCACAACAAGAAGCTTACTTCAACATTCAGCGAACGCAGCTCTATTGCTCTATCAGCCATAGACCTAGTTAAAGCTGCACCATTCTAAAAGCAAGTCAAGTGATGCTGCCACTTCTGGCAGCCATTCACTCCCTGTCTTACTTGCTCAACTTTGCCGAGTCTGCCTGAATATGAACAAATATGGTGAGTTTGGTCCTTGCAGAAGAATGATCGGCCGCTTGGAAGCTGTGCTGGACTGCACAAGGTCCTGAGATTGCCCCAGGCTTGAGAAGGCACTGGCTCCAACCGGACCCCGCACATGCTGACATGGGGAACGCACTAATACAAATGCTGCAACACCGACTTGTCCTCGTCTTGGCCGTGGGTAGCCCGAGTTCGGGCCGGCCCAACGATGCTTGGGGTGCTCCGCCTTGCTAAAGCATTCACACTACACCTGAACTAAACCATTGGTGAGAAGCACAAGGTAAGAAATGGCGAACTGTTGCCCACTGGACTGCGTGCGCCGTGTTAACTCTTTTTGGCAGCGTGCGCATGCTGGCTCAACCAGAAGGAACCTGAAACAGACATCCAGCAATCCCCTCACGTGAATCATGGAGCCATTTTGATTGCCTTGGGCTCCTCCATCACAGCTTCCACAACCTTGCAGCACAGTACCATCTAACTGGGTATACCTAGTCATGCTGCTTTGCATAATATCGCCAAGGCTCTCAACTTTGAGGATATTGAAGTTGCCGTTCCTACTTTATTCTCAAAATCTAGCGGACGGTAGCTAGGAACTTTAGCTTCGAAGCAAAGCCAAATTGCAGCTCGAGTACGAGTAACACTTTGAGCGGCACTATGCGCAGAAACTAGACTGCGCCTTGCACAATGCAGACAGCACCCTTCACCGCTCAAGCAGGATAAACGAGAGGACCAAACCGACAACGCCACGCTAAGCCTCAAATTGTACTAAGGGGCCCGGTTCTGCGAGGAAGCAATATCGCTTTCAGATTGCCTCACGCGCCGGGCGGCAGAGTCTTGCGATGGGTCCTTGCAAGTAGACACAAATTAAGGAAACTGAGGCTCTAAAGCTGGCGTTTCTGGTCTGGACACTTTTGGATGGGAGTCTGAGAGCCAAAGAGCCCGCATCACAAGTCGCTGGGAACTCTAGCACACTATCACTCAGACTCACCTGGCTGGGGAATGATGTTCCTGTGAGAATTACTGGGGCCGCATGTAACAGGTTCATTGACGAGTGCGTGCGAGGCGGGTGTGCATGTGTGTGCGCACAGGTTGGTCTCATAGCCTCGCTTCACCAGCTTGCACTAAGGCACTGCTAGCAAAGAGGAGTCCCATCGACGCGGCGGCACCACGGACCTGCCAGGTATTGGCAAATATTGGCATGTATGTCTTCTAGCCTTTGCATCAAAACGGTTGATCTTCAGTTACAAGTGTTCAGAAAATTCTAGAAGAACTGCTGCGGACGTCAAACATCCGTCCATTAGCGTGGCAAGATAGATTGTCTTTAGCGTTGCCCGATGTTGGAGGCGGAGGTGTGGAGTGCCTCAGTCCGCCCTGGCGAAGGTCAAGAGGCACCGTGGCCATGGCTTGCGCTCATTTTCGCAAGCTGGGACGTGACCATGGGATCTGAAGTTCAGCTGGTTGCAGGTTGCAGGTGAATCACATGATGATTCTCAGTTTGGCATTATGGTGGTGTCACATCTCTAAACGATCTCTACCTGCGCAGCATGGAGAAGCTCTTAAAAATCAGCTTTCTCTTCCTGTGGCAATGCAGCTCAAACGAAGCATGACGTCGGCCGCTCTACCCTGTCAAGAGGAGCCTCGCCAGCAGACGCCATCAAATTGGCACAAAGCCCATAGCTACCATGCGAAAAAAAAAAAAAAAAAA